GTTGTAGCAGTTGTTGTAAATAGTTTCTGCCTTTTTCATGTCCGTCTTTTGCAATATACGTATTGCTTGTATTTCTTTTTGTTTTATAAAAACTGGACAGTTTCGGTCGGATATGCTGTGATGATAGTTTTTTTGTTGTTTTCCTTGCAACTAATGCAACACTTTAGGTTGATACAAGGCTCGGATTCATTCAATGTGGGCAGGATCGCAACAGTTGAGACATAGTTTTGCTGAGTTCGATCGTGACCGTGATGAGCGACAGACGCATTGTGGAGCGAAAAAAAATTTTTTCCATCGAGATTTCGAAGTGTTAAGCAATTTGCAAAAAGGAAATAGACCTTATAAAATTTATTTATCCTTGAATATAAGCAATAATAACAAGAGAGAACGCTACAGTCGAGCAAGCCCGACAGTAAAATAGCCTGTACTCTCCACAAAAAGGGAAATTTAAAAAAAAAAAAAATGAATTAATTAATTGAGTAATTAAAGTAAATTAGAAGACTTGTTTTTGTTCAGTTTTAATAGCATACATTTACATCACGTGCCTATTCGTGTTTATATGCGTGTACGTATGCAGCACGAAGTTGAACTAAAGCAGCAACAATAACAGTGATTTTATTTATGGCTATAACTTTCTTCACAATTGACCTATCATGATGAAACGTACACGGACACATTAGTACTAGCTGGATGTACCTACCAAAATTAATTTCAAAATTCCAAGAATTACAGAATTTATAAACAAAAACACGAATTGCGGGGGAGTGGGGGGGTGTATCAGAATAAAAAAATTAACTTGACCTGCCTAGGACTTAGGGGAACCTCGATACCAAGTTTGGTTATTCTAGCTCTCGTACTTCCTGAGATCCTTGCGCTCATAAAAACAGACGGACGGACGGACAGGCGGACATGGCTATATCGACTCGTCTTGTCATCCTGATCAATAATATATGTATATACTTTGTCACGCCTCCTTCTGTTTGTCACATACATGCGCTAGTATAGCCTTTCACCCTTTGGGTACAGGCTATAATAACTTTTGCATATGACCAATGAAAAAACTTAAACAAATCCAACTCAGATCCACGCAACGCCCCCTTTCCCCCTCCCCCAGCCGACGCCCTTGCTTATTGTACTATATTTGCTATTTGGAAAATGAACTCTTTAAAAACTTTCAAAAGAAGAATATCATATAGTAAATAAACTTATAATTATAAACACATTTTACTTAGCCCAGCAAAGACGGGCAAGACCTGCTAGTATCTATATATGGGCATTTCCACAGAAATGTCCACCGCAGCCAAAAAATTCAAAGTCCATAAAATTATGATGTTTTAACATATTTGTAAAGAGAATCTATCAAATTTAACTAATCTAATCAAATTTTACATTTATTCATAACACATTTCGAAAAATTCAAATGCAAAGTCGAACAACTGCAAAAGTTAAGTTTTGAACACATATGTTGCACTTTTTGTTTTGATTACTGTTCTTAATGAGAGACGTCATGCGTTGATATTTGCTCTTTTAAATATTGTTTGTTATTTAGGCAATATAAGAAAAATGTAAAAGGATCGATGCGATTGCCAATTACGGTAAATTTTTAACTCTGCTTTAAGGTATACTTTTTGAAAAAGTACATTTGTTATCAGAGCGTCAAAGGTGTTTGTACAAGGAGCGTCAAATATTAGCTGCAAACACAGTTTTTTATTGCAAATAATATTTTAACAATTTTGCGCGAAAATAATCAACGCTTTGGTCGCAGAACTTATTTAAAGTTTGTCGCGTGCGACATCGTAAGTGCAAAATGTCTAAATATAAAAATCAAAAAAAAATCTAAAACAACTTTATTTGTATATATACATACAAAATATCACTTTTAAAATGTAGATGAGTAAGAACGGAGCCGAGAAAAATAAGTCTAACTGCAAACGGTGGAGAGAGGTTAAAGGATGATGAAGCAAAATTACAAAATTATAAATTGAAAAACAAGGAAAGAATGCGCAATTTGAGGAAGAGATGGAAAGAGCAGGCTGAAGGTAAAGAAAAAATAATTGAAGAGCGGCGGATATATAATCGCACACGCCAACGAGAGAGACGCCAAAAAGTCTTCGAAAATGAAATATCAGGCGCTCGTCAAAGTCAAACCGCACCTTACGAATGTAGACAAACCTTGGCGAAAGCGGTAAAAAAAGTGGAAAAAGCGATGCCAAAGAACATACACAAAAGAGTTAAAGTTTTTGACGTCCTGATCAAAAAGTATAAGCAGAATTTAGGAAACGAAAACGTAAACCAATCTAGCCAAATATTGTCAGTTAATGCCATCAATGATTTTTATCAGAATGATAATGTTCCATCAGTTAGAAGGAGCTAGGACTGCATATTCCATTTAAAAAAATATATATTTGGCATAAGTAATGCTATTAAGTTCAGTTAGTTTCTGGTATTCTTATATATGTAGATGAATATACTTGTACTTATTTTTGTTTTTTCTTTATTGAAGAAAGTTTGTTATAATTTTTATTTTGAAAAAAAGGGTATATATAAAAATCATTTATAATCTTCTTATGTATTTCTAACTGCACATAAATAAAAAAACAAGATAGAACGCTACAGTCGAGCAAGCCCGACTGTAAAATAGCCTGTACTCTCCACAAAAAAGAAAAATTAAAAAAAAAAAAAATTAAAAAAAAAATTTAAAAAAAAAATTAAATTATTAAAAAAAATGAATGAATGAATGAATTAATTAAATTAAATGAGAATACATGTTTATGTTCAGTTTTAACAGCATACATTTACATCACGTACCAATGCGTGTTTATATGCGTGTATGTATGCAGCACAAAGTTGAACCAAAGCAGCAACAACAACAACAGCTGCGGGCAGCGCTGCCGACAGAGCTGCAGGCAGCGCATTAGAAGCGATTTTACTTATGGCTATAACTTTCTTCAGAATTGACCTATCATGATGAAATTTGGCATACGGACACATTAGTACTAACTGGATGTACCTATCAAAATTGATTTCAAAATTCCGAGAATTACGGAAGTTATAAGGAAAAACACGAATTGCGGGGGAGTGAGGGGGTGCATCGAAAAAAAACTCAAACTCGTACTTTCTCGGTCTTAGGAGAATATGGAAACCAAGTTTGGTTATTCTAGCTCTTATACTTTCTGAGATCCTTGCGTTCATACGGACAGACAGACGGACGGACGGACAAGGCTATATCGACTCGGCTTCTCATCCTGATCAAGAATATATATACTTTGTGGGGTCTGCCACGCCTCCTTCTGTGTGTTACATACATGCGCACAAAACTAGTATAGCCTTTCACCCTTTGGGTACAGGCTATAAAAAACATTAAAAGTATGATGGAAGAATTTGTCGCGTGCGACAGGGGTTAAAAATTAAATAATAAATAAACCACCTAATATTTTTGAATGAAATAAAAAGCATTATTAAGATACATCAATGCAAAACATCTTAAAGTTATACGCATTAAAATTTTCCTTCTGGTTTCGCTGAAATCAGTGTTTGAACTGTTCGCCGAAAAAGCGACTTCTATATATGTCGCGTGCGAATGCCTTGGTTTTTATACCCTGTACCCGTAGGGTAAAAAGGGTATATTAGGTTTGTGCAAAGTATGTAACATACAGAAGGAAGCATCTCCGACGCCATAAAGTATATATATTCTTGATCAGCATGACGAGAGAAATCGATCTAGACATGTCCGTCCGTCTGCCCGTCCGTCTGGATGAACGCAAGGATCTCGGAAACTATAAAAGCTAGAATAACCAAAGTTGGCATCCAGATTCTCCTAGGTCCGAGTAAGGACGAGTTTATTTTTTTTTTTTTAATTTCCTCCCCCTTCCCCCGCTACAGAATTTCGTCAAAAGCGTTCAAATGCTACCTAAACCAAACTTTGCACACATAATTTCTATACAATTATCTACTGTTGTTTAAAATTTTATCAAATTCGGTCAATTCTAAGAAAAGGTTTTAGCAAAACAAATTCTCACCAGTACAACCCCCCCAAACTGCAGCAACAAGTTCGCTCTTCTTCTTCCTCTTTATGCTGCTGCTATGGGCGCATATAACTCAGTGACGGAAGTTTACCTGGGTACAGGGTATTACACTGTCGGGCTTGCTCGACTGTAGCGTTCTCTCTTGTTTTAAATTATCTCAAAAACTAAACAATCCCCAAAATCCACCTTAGCACCAACAATAGAGCTAGAATACAAATCAATAAAAGAATACAAAGCAAACTGCATACTCGGTTTTTTAAATTGTTTGTTGGAGCTTGAATTATTGGGGTTTTCTTGGGGCACAAAAGGAAACCGCGTCAAGAGCCCACAGCCCAAACGGTAAGAGCTAGAAAGCTGAAATTTGGGGTCAAGTATCCTAACATAGTGTAAATGTGCAATAAGAAGGGATTTTGGAAAATTCGAGCTCCAAAGGGAAAAAAGTAGCTCCAAAGGAGGGAAAATACTTAGATTTTCGAAATTTGTGTTGGAGCTTGAATTATTGGGGTTTTAATATTTATTCACTATTTCAAATGAAAAGTTTGTGTTATAAATTTAGTCCAATCGATTTAAAATTTGGGTAATGTAATCTACGTAACTAAATCTACATCTTTGCATTCAAGGATTTTCAAAATATGCATTTTACAAAATCAGGCAGAACAAACAATACAAAATATCAAACAGTTGGGGACAACTAAGTATACATACACACACACACATACAAGCAGCTGCTCGTGTAGTTGCGTGCAAACGATTGAAATAGCCAAAGCAAAATGTGAGACACTAATGTGTGAATGTCCATACATATGTGCACATCTATGTATGTACATATGTATCTACATATGTATGTATGTACATTCGTCTTGCACTGACAGAGCAAGAAATGTTAATTAATTGAAAATTATATAACATTTTTTTTAGATATGCGTACGTTGCTTATTTAGTATTGTTTATTGAATACAATAACTGCAGCTGGTGAACAATTGTGTGGTATAATGTATTGATTTATGATCGCTGCGCAGAGCGATGTGAAGTGACAGACTTCTACGAACCAACTGACTCCAGTTCGTGTGACAGTGAACGAACTGACCGGTCACATACATAACACCCCTTAACACCCAGAGGCAGCAAAGAACTGAGTGGCCTGCCTCTTCCGTTGAGATCTTCGTGGTGTTGCCGATGAGGGCGTTGCAACTTCAGGCTGTAAAGCTCCTGATCCATTTTGAGTTTCCCCATCGGACATACTTGGCTCGGTATCACTATACGACGAAATAGGTGCTTCTGTGTTTTTAGGTTCGCAGTCGGAGGCATTAGTTGGGCTGACACGACTACGAAGTTGATCTTGATGTCGCCGGACGACTCTAGAATCGGATAGGCGTACCTTGTACGAGATTGGGCCAGTTTGATCGGTTACTGCGCCTTCAATCCATTTATCTCCAGGTGAATAATTACGAACCCAAACTGGACTACCTGTAATGAGAGGTTTAGCATTACCGGGATCGACGACCTTACCAAAGGTTATTTCATGCGGCTGTATCTTGTCAAAGTATGACTTAAGCCCGCGATTGAATAATAGCTCTGCTGGCGAGCGATTTGTAGTAGGCTGTGGGGTTGAATGCTGATTAAATAAGTATCTGGCCAAGCTCAGATCAATGTTTTGGTCCTTTCCAAACTTCTTCAAATAGTTTTTGGTACTCTGTATCCGCTCTGCTTGGCCGTTAGTAGACGGGTGAAACGGAGCTGAGCGTATGTGCCTTATAACGTTGTTCTCCATGAACAATTTGAATTCTTCCGACGTGAACGCTGTTCCATTATCTGATACCAACTCGTCTGGCAGCCCATGGGTGGCAAACAGCTGTCGGAGAAATTTGATGGCGGCAGCTGCAGAGGTTGAGCTGACCACGTCGACTTCGACCATTTCGAATATGAGTCCACGACCAAAATAAATACCTTGCCCAAGAACGGTCCAGCGAAATCGACATGAAGGCGCGACCAGGGGCGTTTGGCTGACTCCCAGTGGTGAGTTGCAGTTTTCTGTTTCATATTGCAGTTGTGCTGCACAGTTCCCCCACACAAGAACTCCTCTATTAGCAGAGAGTTCATTACGACGGCAGTAGAATGGATATAATTTGCTCGAACGGTCAATTTTGGTGCTGGGCCATCCCCTTAACACCCAGTTTAAAACTTTCGAGAGATTGATATCTTTCGAAGTTTGGGACGCAATCAGGTCAGCACTCACGATTGGCTTTGCTACCAGTTCAATCATTAATACGTCCTCGCTAGTTGTTGTTTCTACTTCTTATGGTACCGGACAACGACTCAAGAAGTCTGCATTTCCAATTTTTGATCCAGCACGATGTATCAGTGTATAACTATAGGCATTGAGAAAGATTGATCTTCGAAGCATAACTGATGAAATGACATCCGGTACTCTTTTCGACGCGTTTAAAATTCCCAATAGTGGCCGATGATCTCTAACCAACGTAAAAGAACGGCCATACAGATAATTGTGGAATTTTTTGACTCCTGATATAAGCGCTACGGCTTCTCTATTAATTTGCAAGTAGTTCCGTTCAGCTTTTGACAACGTTCTAGAATAAAACGCTATTGGTTTCTCAGTGCCGTCTGGTAATTTATGACTTAGGACTGCTCCGAGTGCGTCACATGTTAGTATTAATGGTAGTTCCTCATTGTAGTGTACTAACACGTCGCTCGATGTAACTTAACTTCTTCGAAAGCTCTTTGATGCTCTCCGTCCCATTTCCAGCGGGCATGCTTATCTAGGAGGCGATGCAAAGGTTCCGCCACGGTTGCTTTTTGTGGCAAGAATGCATGGTAAAAGTTTAGCAGTCCCAAGAATGACTGTAATTGCTTCTTGTCAGTAGTTGGCCGAATTCCACATGCATCGTTCTTGAAGCCCAAAAATTCTATTGATGGCACTCCAAACTGACATTTGTCTCTGCGTAGGCGCAACCCTGCCTTGTCAAAACGCGAGAACACTTGTATGAGCCTTTCCGCAAGCTCTTCTTCTGTTTTTCCCATTACGACTATATCATCAAAATAGGGTAAAACGCCATGGATGTTTTGTAGAAGATTCTCGATGAAACTCTGAGAAATCCCTGGCGCTGATGATATGCCAAATTGCAGCCGTGTTACTTTGTATGCTCCCTTGTGTGTGCATACCGTTTGAAGCAATGCTGAATTGTCATCGACCACAAGCTGTTGGTAAACTTGTGCTAAATCTATTTTTGCAAAAATCGATCCTCCTTCGATCGAAGCTAATAGGGTATTGACGCCTGGAATTTGATAGTAATGAGGTTTGGTTGCTTTATTTAACGTTGATTTATAGTCACCGCAGATGCGTATGGATCCATCCTTCTTGACGACTGGCACGATTGGTGTTGCCCAGTCAGAGTATTCTACTGGCTCTAAAATGCCTTGTTTGCATAATCGCTCGATCTCTTCTTCGACCAGACCCTTGATTGCGAAAGGTATACGGCGCGGTGACAGACGGACAGGGGCGACGCCCGTATCGATATGCAGTGTAACTGGCGGACCGTTATGGCGCCTTAGTTCTATAGCGAATAAATGCTCATACTCACTGAGCACGGATTTTATGTTGACGCCACTGTTGACTGCAAACACGCCTTCGATGCGTATGCCCAGTGCGTCGAACCAGTTGCATCCTACCAAATTTGAGCCTCCTACATTGGCGATGATCAGTGGCAGAATGTCGATCTTACGACGATTGTAACGAATTGACACATCAATGACACCCTTAATCGGAATTTGGTTGCGTTGGTAATCCGTTAGGTCCAAGTCACACTTGGCGAGATCTGGCTGTCCTTGTGCCCAGATATTGTTGAACGTGGTTTCCGTCATTATGGTCACTGGCGACCCTGAATCCACTTCAAAAGAACACGTGCACCCATTCATGACAAGAGAAATTAACTTCTTTTGATTGACCAATGGCACGATTTGGTTGACAGATTCTCCACGAGACGATCTGTGTGCTGACATCCCTCGATGTCTTTGCTGTGAGTTGGGTGGTGATATAGATCTAGTCGACTTCACTGCGTCAGGGCTACGGCAGACTCGTTTACGATGCCCTTTATGACCGCAAGAATGGCACACAGTATCATGGTGGGGGCACAGCTTGCGGGAATGTCGGCCTCAGCAGCCGCCACATACTTGTCCATCGTATTTGTTGTTGACTGTACCGCGCTGTGAATGCCGGTAACGATTCATCTTAATATTATGAACGGGCTCGCCAGTTTGTCTAATAGCCATTGCACTGATCGCTGCTGCTTCATTAGACATGGCGCGTTCTAAGGCTCGTTGCACAGTCAAATCCTTATCTGCCAAGAAACCTTTCTGCAGACCTTCATCTCTTAAACCACATACGAATCGTCGCGCAACATCCGATCTAACGCCGGTCCAATTTTGCAATCGACTGCTAATGTACGAAGTGCTGCCATATACATAGTTGCTAACGGACTCATCCACGTGTTGGTCTCGTTTATGAAAGTGGTAGAATGCGGCGATTTCGGAGGGATGTGGAGACAAATGGTCAGTTAGAGTTTTGTAAATATCGGCTAATTTCAATTCACTGACCTGTTTAGGAAATGCCAATGATGTCAAAAGGTCGTACAAGGGCACTCGGGCAAGCGTAAGAAATGCCGCCTTTTTCCGCTCATCCTCTTTGACATCATTGGCCAGCAGGAACAAATTAAAGCGCTCCATATACTTTGACCATTTGTGCGGATGACCCAAGTCGAACGGCTCCAGACTTCCAACCCCAGCCATGTGAGTAATTTTTGCACTCACTCGGTCAGTAACATGTGATTCTCCACCTTCACCTTTAACGACTGCCTCGTCGCTACTACTCGATGCTTGCTCGCTGTTCTCTAGACTAGCCATGCGTTATCAACAGAACAGTTACTCTGAATTACTGCACTTTTCTTGGTATGTTTGCGACTACGCACAACAATGACCACGCTGCATACGATATGGAATTTGTTCGATTCCTATTCACCCCGCTTGGTTTTCGCTCACTCGGTAACAAGTGTGTATGTATGTATGTCTTTTGCGAATTCTCCTTTCGCACCAATTTCGTGAACACGCGGTTGTTGGGTACTTATGCACTGAGGTATGTACAGCCGTATGTACACATAACTTTAAAACAATGTACGCACTCTAAATATTTTATTTAATCCCATCCTCGTCGCCAGTTTTAGATATGCGTACGTTGCTTATTTAGTATTGTTTATTGAATACAATAACTGCAGCTGGTGAACAATTGTGTGGTATAATGTATTGATTTATGATCGCTACGCAGAGCGATGTGAAGTGACAGACGTCTACGAACCAACTGACTCACATACATCACATACATAACAATTTTTAAAAGTAATGTTTTCTTTGTTTAGTGCATTTGGCATTAGGGTTTTCATTAATAACTTTATGCAGCAACAACAAATATCAAATAGTTGGGGACATCACATACACACACTCACACACACAACAAGCAATAGTTCGTGTCTATGTGTGCGGTTCTCTACGTATGGTTGAAAAAGTAAAGAGAAACATACATATGTATGTATGTATGTATGCCTGTGTATGAATATAGCATGTATGTACATTCGTATTAATGTATACATTGGGCAATCGAACACAGTTCTTTGATTGTAAAAAAAATAATGCTCTAAAAACAACAACAACTGCAAGTCATTATCTCGCTCTTCTTCTTTCGTTTTGACCATTTAATGTTAATTGCAAAGGCAAAACGCCAAAAGTTTACAGTTACCGTCGCTAGGCAACGACTGCGTAAGCGATAGTAAAGCAGAAACCGAATAACGGAGCTACGCATATTCTGCTTCGCATTGCGGGCAGATGTATTTATGTATATGATTTGTTCTTATTGATCTCAATAAATAATTAGATTTTATTATTTAAATATTCTGCTTATTGCATTCAAACTTCGATATTTTGATGGTATCGGTGGCTTCAACTATCGAAAGTTTTACTCTAGCAAATTGAGATGAGAATTGTCAGTGCTTTTTGATCGTGGCTCATCGCTGCACGGCATTGACACGAGTGCCGTGTTTCATATTCCGAGTTTGTACGTGACCGTATTGACTCAATATGGCACGAAAAGACCCAAATGTGCATTTAAAATTAGGATATACCCTTATAACTATTCCCCTTTTTGCACATAGTCTATTTTAAAACGTTGCGTTATCTTTATATATAAAACAGTTTGTCCTGACTAATTGGTGATCAACGCACAGCCCAAACGGTAAAAGATGAAATTTGGACTCAAGTATCCTTTCATAGTATCCATCATAGTGTAGGAGCACACTAAGAAAGGCTTTTGGAAAATTCTAGCTCCAAAGGGGGGTAAACGAGCTTTAAAAAATATTAGTTATAGTGGTCATGGTCGTTTAACGAAATAGTTTGGCAAGAACAAAAATGTAACGGACTACTGAACAATTTTTTGTCAAGAACAGAAAATGTTCATTTAAATACCTTAAATGCCTTCCTACTGGTAACTTATAAGGTGAAAACATATAGGTAGGTTATGCACACACAAAATAAATACAATTGGAAAAATTATATTGAGCCGGGTTAAGACGGGCAATACCTGCTAGTACATACATATATACGTGTAACAAGCATACCATCATACAAACTCCACGCATGGCACATATGACTACCTTTACGCATTTTAGATACACCCATAGACACGATCCTCATGCAAAAGTATGCTGCTGAAACATAAACATATGTGTCCACTTATGTATGTACATATGTACATATGTACTGAATATTTTATATTCAATGTAGTTTTAAAAAATTAATTTTAAGAATATTTTTAAATTTTTACTTTTATGTGGGAGTGAGTACAGGGTATTTTAATGTTCTGCTTGCTCGACTGTAGCGTTCTCTCTTGTTTGCGTTCAAATTTGACAATTAGATCCTCTTAGCCATGTCCGCCATTTTTAATGGGTCATTACTTCCATATTACATTGCCAAGTGATCGTGATAGATCATTTGTAAAGGCAGATAAAGCCATAAATGTAATCTCTGGTTATGTCCTGCCATGCATCTTTAGTGGTTGTTGCTGCTTTGATTCAATTCTGTATTGAACATAAAAAACACGTAAGTACATTATTTTTAAGTAGTAGGTACGCCGTGCCGGGTCCGAACGACTTTATTACTTAATTCGTGTTTAAAATGATGACTATCTTAGAGTTGCCAATTTGATGCAAATACCTGTGCAAAAATGTACAGATACATCCATATGAGTTCGATGCCACAAATACCAAAGGTTGTTGCTTTATTACGCGTTGAAATTTTAAATGTCTTACAACGGTTTTACAGTAAAAGTTTGGTATTAAGTATAAGTATGTAAAGTAATAAACACATATGTGTATATACTGCCATATATATCCGCGTGTAATAATTATTGCAAAAAGCAAGCACGTGTAAGGTAAGATTTACTAGTTACTAAAACTGTAAACTTCAAGGCAATTTAGTAGTTAAGCACAGGTTTTGGTGTAGTGACATCCATGCACCGTTGGTTTGGCATACATTTTCATTTAGTATAATAAGGCAACTAAAATGCTCCGTAGGCACAATAGTTGATAAATATTGATTTACTTCATTTGCATGTATGTATGTATATACAATATGTTTTTATGCATAACTGTCACATTTGCAAACATTTGACCTGCATTTTTAGGTCTGTATGTGTACTGTATAGGCCTCTAATATACAGCTCGGTATTTTAACATTACTTTACATAAATATTAAATTTGCATAGGGTCTCCTTTAAAACAGAAATTTTAGAGGCTAACGATTCATTAAAACGCATACAATTTTAGAAAAATCAAAATATTTTATTTTTATATTCAAACAAAATTATATTAAAACTTAAAATCGTTTCGGCACACAAATGTTATAATTGAAATTACTCAATTATATTTAAATTCAAACAGAAGAAAGAGTCCTACATTTTCCACAAAAATTTAAATTTGAAACGAATGATTCGTTTTACATTTAATCGTAAGTGCACTTGACAAAATGCTTGATTTTGGCAGACTTAAAAAATAAACAAGATCATTGATTGTAAAAAATTAAAAATAAAATTTTATTTCACATTAACTTTTTGTTTTTGGGTGGATATCAAACCTAAAATTAGTTAAACTTATTGTTTTAAACAATCGAAATTGTTGATAAAGGCAAAGTAAGAAAATGTAACATAGAAATTGAGTTTTGCTGAATAAGTTTTGCCTTTTCATAATTAAGCATAGTAAATAGTTGTTTGTATTTTGCCAGTAAATGGGCACGTTAGGTGTAATTGTATGGTATAGGTTTTGTTGTTACATTTAAAGCAAGGTGCACGACACATACATATGGTATTACTTGCAATAAGGCTTGTACAATAGCGCTAAGAGAGTATGCCTATGTGGAACAGTTTTATAAATATCATTTCGATTGTTGCTTTATATTCTCCGCATATCGCTTTATTTTGTTTTATTTTTGCTTAAGGAATGACAAACAGACCACAAGCGTAAAAATCCATATAGTAAACTATTAAATAGGCGAAAGGCGGGTGAGTAAATGTTTTCCAGCATACATATCAGGCAATGGCAGTATGCATTTCATGAATGCATACTTATAAGAAATATTCGACACATTTATCCTGAATACTTCGCATTTATTGCTCATGTATCAGCTTATTTGTTGCTGCATATGATGAGCCTATGGATTTTACTCTTTTATAGCTTGACTTACTTTCTGCGTTGGTTTTACAGTTAAACCAAAAACATTAGCTTAAGATACCGAACTAATTGCATTATGCGGTGACCCCATTTGCGTTAGCACTTTGTCTAACCATTGCAACGGCCCATGCAAGTGTATTTCAATCCAACAGGGCGTTGAGGTCACATCCTGGCGATGATATTCAGCGCCCCAACCCTTTACAAATGACATGCGTATTGTGCACATTTTCGTCAACTCGTAGACGGCTTCGAATCCGTTGTTGACTGATTGCGAGAGCAGTTGAGCAAATTCCTGATTATTGAAGATCTTCAGAGAACACCCGGGGGGTATTTTACACACAGTACTCGGATGAAAGCCGTGGTGATAGTTACAGTTGCGCGACTGCACAAATATGGCAGAGTCAGAGAGACATTCGGCATAGACCTCTCCGGTCACATAATACAGATGCACACCTTTGCCTGAGAATTGGAAGTTAATTACATTATTATTGTTGGCTTGAAATGTATGGGAAAGACCCTGCATTAGACCCTCTCATATGCATATAGCAGTATGTAGTAAAATAATACAATCATTAAAATATTAAAGTTCCATAATTTAAGTGTGCGTTTAAAAAGCGAATTGACGTTTTTATGTTTGTGTGTGTTTATTATTGTCCTAGTATTCTCTGCAGAATCCCATAATATATTCCTGATCATATTTATACTTACCTATATGACGGCGTGTGTTCTCTATGGTACTGTTACGATTCACATTGCTTAACTGGCCCAGGCAGCAGCGGTCAGAATTGTTGGATGGATTCGTAAAGCCATCTACAATCACCGAGTTGTTGTTACAGTGAAATACCTCGCCGACACGACAATTTAGCTCATAATAAGCAATAGATGCCCAAAAGGCTGGCTCCGAGTAGCTAACCTGCGCCACATCGCCCATTTGCGCATCGATCATTTGTGCGCCATCATTGGGATTATTGGAATTGCCATCCTCGGATGGACTATAAGCGGGTGGCGGTGTTCCCGCTAGGCTGTCATAGGGCGAGTTAGGATTGGAGTTCACGGAACTGGGACTGCCCACAGATGTGTTGCTATTTCCCATGCTGTGAGAATTAAAACCGCTGCTGGAATAGCTTACATTGTGTGGCATATTGGGCTCGGCCATTTGATTGAACTGAAGCAATGAGTGTCCTGGTGCAAACTCTGAGTGACGCGGTACCAAAACCGGGGGCAATACTGGACTCTCTACGCGTTTATAATGATACGGGTTTATGCATACCTCTTTCTGTTTTGCGCTAAATGGATATTGACAAATCTCAAGAGGTTTCAGCTCATGATGCGATTGTAAGTCGGGCCAACGCCAGACGCGGCAATAAATGACATGAGGCAACCCCTTACGATGAGAGACCTAAGTTTAAAAACAAATTTATTATTCAAAATGTAATTATAATAGTCATTTATATGTTCAACAAATGAAGGAAGTGATTTCTATGAATCTTAATCGGTTTCGAACCATAAATTATGACTAGGAATCGATGCCGGCTATTACTGACCGTAAATCGAATAACGCGTTTAATAAAAAGCGTTTAATAAAAAGCAATAATCGGACTTATATAGTCTGATATTTGAATCGTTTAAGGTTGTGATATCATTAAAAACTTACCTGTAAACGACCATCGAGGGAGCGTGGTATGGTAACGCATTTGGATGGCTGACCGGGACAGGACAGCGCACGCTCCAGCTCTTCAATGGCGCCCTTACGTTTCTTCAACTTTTTAACCAAACTATCTACGGCCTTTTCGGCCCATTTTTCTTCCTCATCCCCTTGCTTCCAGCCAAGAAGCTTTTTTACCGCCGGTGATGTGAAAGAGAATAATGTGCCTAATGTAGACATGGCGCTACTCGTATTGGATTCGACGTCGTCGGTGTCCATTCTGTTAGAGTGTGGTAAGGATATCCGATAACTAGTATAACTATAAAAAAAAGAAGCGAATAGTCTGTTAAAGATAATTAATGCTCGTAAATAGAAACATGTTAACTAACTATCCACTCACCACCTATTCTCGATTTTCCATAACTGTCGTAATTATAAGAATTTTTCAACAAAATTTGGAAAAAAATTTCAGTTAGTGATTATGCGTCCGTATGCCAAGTTTCATTTTGATAGGTCAATATGAAACGAAGTTTTACCCATATACATTTGTTGACAACTAAATGGAAACAAAAATTCAACTCTTGCATTTGTGACATCTAGCAACACTATGGCTGACCTAAGGGTATATTACCACATGTTTTAAATTCTTATTGGAAACAATTTCGATTGTCGGCATCATTCGATTGTTTAAAGTATTTGTCCAAAACTAAAGTAAGTTTTTGTTGTTATTGCTTGTTAGAAGGCACGCATTCGCGCATGCGTAATATACAATTCAAATCAATTATCAATCATAAAGACATTGTCATTATAGCGTAATTCAAATAGCAACAGTGGTCAAGTACAGAATGAAATCGGGTGGCAATGCTTTTGTTCTTAACGACGAAAATGAAATGGTCATTATAAACTACAAGAGAGAACGCTAAAGTCGAGCAAGCCCGAAAGTAAAATATCCTGTACTCTCCACAAAACAGGAAAATAAAAAAAAAACAAGTTATTTAAAAAAAATTAATAAATTAATTAAATTTAAAAAAATATTCAATACAAACATATATACATATATACAAACATACATATCAGAATAAAAAAATAAAAAAACAAACTTGACATACATATCAGAATAAAGTGAGAACGCTACAGTACGAGCAAGCCCGACAGTAAAATAGCCTGTACTCTCCACAAAAAAGGAAAAATAAAAAAAAACTTATTAAAAAATTGAATTAATTAATTAATTTAATTAAATTAATATAGAAGACATGTTTATGTTCAGTTTTAAAATCATACGTTTACATCACGTGCCTATGCGTGTTTATATGCGTGTATGTATGCAGCACAAAGTTGAACAAAAGCAGCAACAACAACAGCTGCGAGCAACGCTGCCGGAAGAGCTGCAGACAGATTGACGGGTGGACATGGCTATATCGACTCGGCTTGTCACCCTGATCTAGAATATATATACTTTGTGGGGTGTGCCACGCCTCTTTCTATGTGTTACATACATTCGCACAAAATTACTACAGCCTTTTACCCTTTGGGTACAGGCTATAAAAAATATATGTATATATATATATAAATATATATATATATATATATATATATATATATATATACAATTCAAATTATATATATATATATATATATATATATATATATATATGACATGACATTTATGGCTATAACTTTCTGTTACATCGGCCTACCATAATGAATCTTGGCATACGGACTCATAATCACTAAATGCAGGTACACTCTCTTCGGCAGACACTGTTTCCAAATATTCGATCAGAACTTCACCCGCATAGGGCTTAGGGAAACCTGCATACCAAGTTTGATGTTTCCACCTCTTCTTGATCCTAGCGCTCATACAGACCCTTTTGGTGTACCCAAAAACATCAACTTGACATGTAGATCTTGTACTTCCTGAGATCCTCGCGTTTGTACAGTCGGACATAGCCAGAATACAGAAAACTTCCGAATATCTTTAAGCCCAAATTGCCATATCTTTTTTAATACTTAGATTGCTTTTGGGGTGGATTATTTCAATTCCATTCACATATACATTCTATATATGATACAGAGAGCCGATTTTGAGATAACTTCAAGTATGGCGAAGCACTAAACAAGGTTTATGAATATTATATCCAATGATGGTTTCTCCATCACAAAGTACGCTTATAAAATATTGAAACTATACACTTTTTGTAATAAACTTGTGTATGGATAAGACAACTCTAGATACATTTTGTTTTCCCAGCTATTATGGTTTAACACATCTCGATGTTCATACGGCCGGATATATCTACATACATACATATGTATGTATGTATATCGATTCATATGATAGGCGTCCTTTTGCATGTTACATACGTTTGGAGTTCATTAGTTTACCGTCTCTACTCGACTACGTATGTATGTATACTACATTGAGTGTGAGATTTATTTATTTTTATAGCCTGTACCCAAAGGGTGAAAGGCTATACTAGTTTTGTGCGCATGTATGTAAGACACAGAAGGAGGCGTGGCAGACCCCACAAAGTATATATATTCTTGATCAGGATGAGAAGCCGAGTGGATATAGCCTTGTCCGTCCGTCCGTCTGTCTGTCCATATAAACGCAAGGATCTCAGAAAGTATAAGAGCTAGAATAACCAAACTTGGTTTCCATATTGTCCTAAGACCGAGAAAGTACGAGTTTGAGTTTTTTTTCGATGCACCCCCCACTCCCCCGCAATTCGTGTTTTTTCTTATAACTTCCGTAATTCTCGGAATTTTGAAATCAATTTTGGTAGGTACATCCAGTTAGTAATAATGTGTCCGTGTGCCATGATAGGTCAATTCTGAAGAAAGTTATAGCCATAGCCAAACATGTATTCTAATTTAATTTAATTAATTAATTCATTCATTCATTTTTTTTAATAATTTAATTTTTTTTTAAATTTTTTTTTTAATTTTTCTTTTTTGTGGAGAGTACAGGCTATTTTACTGTCGGGCTTGCTATCTTGTTTGTAATTGCAAGATGTGTGTTGGTGCATATATGTATATATGTATGTATGTGTAGTGGCAAAAAAGGAACTTCAGTTATGAAATTGATAAGGGTTGCACATGTGTGCGGGTGTATGTGTAGAGACCGTGCTTTGAAGTTTGATAGCCGTTTTAAAAGCCATCTGTGTATGCATGTACATATACAAAGATTTTAAAAGATCTCAGATGAGTCACAAGCATATCGTCATAAAATATGTAGCATTCAGGCAAATGTACCCAGTAATTCCATTAATGATCAAATGTGTACAAATACTGTTAATATTGTTGTTGTTATTGCTGTCGTCACTAATTAGAGTGTAGCAGAATCTCACGATGTGTTCCCAATGCACTTGACAATTTCTACAAAAATTCAAGCACAGGCATTTAAAAACATATACATATACATACAAACATACATAGATATGTACAAATGCATGTACATATGTACATGTGTATATTGCATTGAACTACAAAATGAAATGGATATACTTAAAAAACAAAACAATTTGATACAAATAAGTAGTAGTAGTAATAAAAACCCTGTGCATTTATTGTTTCCATTTTCCGTTCAATTAATGGCGCGCGCAGTCACATCAACTTTATCGAAAACACACGACATACATACATACACAGATAACTATTGTAGAGGCAGTGTAGTACGAAGAAAAAATTTTCTTCTCACCCAGACCAAACGCAATTGACCGTGATTTTTTCGTTTTCAACGAAAATCTACACTAAATTATAATAATTTATACTCACGAATTTAATAAAACACTTATAGCTTTGCAAGCTATGGTTAACTTATTAACTTGAGCACAAGCAAATATAAGAAATTTATTATTTATTCTCAATTGTTTATCACGAAATGACGACTACGTCAGGGATGTTGATATCGTATCGATATTCGATATCTAACGTTGGTGTACGATGTTTAACGATTAGTGCAGAGCAAGAATCGTTACAAAAAGGTATTCCTGAAATTTGTTAACGACTCGATTTTAATTTTTATTCCAAACAAAGCATAACATGTGAATAGCAAGGCTTCGGAAAACGGGCATGCTAGATTTCGCATTTTCGTTCCAGTGAATATTTATATAAGGTAGTCAACCGTCCTGCTTTGTGCGGGACAGTCCCGCATTGACAGTTGTTGTCCCGCATTGAATAATCGAATAAAATAGTCCCGGAAAACATCAAATGCGTCCCATATACATAATCTTAAAGAGTAAGAGTTAGAAAACCGTTGGTTTTTTTTAGGAGAACGGGCAATGGAAGCCTGCTCTCACAATTGAACATATTACTGCCGCACGATATCGGGAAGCTGCACGAAGCAGTGCACATTGACCGAAAAACCAAGCATAAAATAAAATGCGGGACTTCCCATTTGGTACAGTTGATTATAATAATAAATATAGAAAGTGGGACAAATTTTAGGTTCATCGGACCACGCCCGCTCTTATCTCCCACTCTGCGAAGAAAGGGGGCACCTAGCCAGGAACTGCCCGAGATGTGCATTATGCGCAAAAAAGAGTCTACCAGCGACGGACCACGCCACAAGAAGCTTTAAATATCCTTTCCCGTTCTCCCCCTTTGGAGAGTGTCCAAATTGCAGCTTCCTAACTCTTGCTGTTTGGGCTGAGTTGATCGCCAATCAGAAGGTCCGTCAGGACAGAGCTTGTGATTGCTAAAAGAGCATGCACGCATAAATATGTATGTATATATATATATGCATATTTTATATGATCAGACTCGATAAACTTCAATCATATGATCACGTTCGATCATATCGTTCCTTGCGATCATTTATCGACCCAAATAAACAAAGTGAAGGAGCCCAAGTTGTTTGTAAGCTAAGCAATAGGGTTGTAAGTAAATTAAAGTACATCGATGTTTCACATAATCGGTCTATAGTCAAGTGCCATCGATTGTATTCCGATAAATCGCGACAAAAATCGATCCGTCGATTAATTTATTTTTGTTGTTTTTAATTTATTAGTTATGTGGAATTTATATTTGGCTATAATTCTTCAGTCTCATTTCTATTTGCTATTGAATTACTTTTAAAATTAAGGTTTTGATGTTTTCGCCAAAGCATTTAACAACGTCGACGTATCGCGTTGAAAAAACATCGGGGAAAGTCGAGTACTCATTAAACATCGACGATGTCAAATAATTAAAACTGAATTTTAAACATTGAGGAATATTCTTGTGCATTTCGTCCATAAATACCACAACTTTAGTATCTTTGTATTTTAATGTACGGTCACACTCACCGGTCACAGTATTAACTATGAAAAAGGCTAACTGTCGCATTTTACGTTTCAGTTCCATAAAAATTGAGAAAAGGTGGTATTAATGGTAGTAAAAATAAATTGTACCTTTGCCAAGAAAAAAATAAACATTGTGAGTGCACCAAAGCTCAGGTAGTTGCGTGTCACTTTTTCCACCATTTATTGATCCGCGCTGCGCTTCATGCTTCAGCAACAATTTGTAATCTACAAGTGCGCGCTAGTGCAAATCCCGCCACTCCCCTTGTTCTGTAGTCAAACAAATCACCTAACTTTGTGTATACACATAGCATGCCAATCCACTTGTCCCCGTAAAAAACTTTCAATATCAGATATTGTTTAGAAAATTAGTACACGGTACGTTCATTGGGAAAGGAAACGCAAGGTGAGTGGTGGATCATATTTTTTATCTGATGGATAAGAGCTTCCTATTTTGTCTTTGCAGTTTAGTCCAAAAAACTGTTGGCGCCTCTCGCGACAATTACAAACAGAGGAAAAGAAGAGTGGGCGCATGTTTTGCGCATAATTCTGGAGAAATTTAATGAACAAATTCCGGTATCATTGCATATCAGATTAAGCAAGTCTGTTAAGAATTATCAATATGTCTACCGCTTTCTTAACTGTTATTGCCGTCATCATATGCATATTATTCCGCATTCTCAATGTGCATAGCCAGCCGCTAAAACCTAATGTTTGGTGTCTCAATGAACAGTTCTTGGACTGCTTGTACAAGATAGCGCCAGTATTGCGAGAACCGTAAGTATTTGCTGCGGCAAACTAACACATTTATAATTTTGTTTGCCTTTTCACTTGCGACTCACATCAACAAATAATAAATCGAGAAAACCGTACTCGCGCTCAGCTATTGAAATGTTAGCAACCCAAGACACCTAAGCTAAAAAGGTTGTTAACATCTTTTTTAGTATATAAGTAAAATATACACTGCGCGTCATCAGGTTAGCACACCCCTGACTTCAATAGTTTTCGCTCATTTCTATTAAAACTAAAAAGGTTAAAATTCTAAAAATTTTATCGGTTATAAACAAATTAATTCTGAACTAAATAAAATAAAAACCAATGTTCAATATTTTTTTATAATTTTTTTTTGAAATCAACTAAAAATTAACAATTTAAGTTTGGTCATCAGGTTAGCACACTTCTCTTTTTTATAATTTTTTGAACCTTTTCAGGTAAGAAATTATTGTTAAACTTATATGGTAACTTATTTAAACATTTTTTTATAATTTTAATAATGAGTCGATCCCCCTTGTTGAGTAAGATCTCATAGATCCGATTGGGAAGGGATTCGTATAACTTTGCAATATAATTTAAGGAAATGGCTGACCAAGCACTTTTATTGCAATCAACTAATTCCACTTTGGTGGAATACTGCCTGTCCGCTTCGTAAACTTTACAAACCAGCCATCCCCACACGTTTTCTATGATGTTAATGACCGGTGAGTAAGGCGGCCACTGCAATAAGTCGATGTTTTGACCTTCTATCCAAGATTTAATCACTCGAGCAGTGTGAATCGGAGCATTGTCTTGTTGGAAACGCCATGACAAATTACCAAATACATTTTAGAAATGGGGAAAAGTAAGTTTCAGTACGTTTTGATAAGTGTTTACAGTCATATTTGTGTTCAAAAATTATAACTTGCACGTAACATAACAAGAGATAGCTCCCGACACCATTACACCGCCCTCACGACAATGAAGTCGAACCAATTGAAATAAAAGTTATATCCACCGGATCATTCCAAATCACATTTCTTTTCATCCGAAAAGAAAACAAAGCTTCAATCAAAATTTAAGTAGAGTTTGATTTAATCGTTTTTCCTTCCGAGCATAGTTAATTGGTGGTTTTTTCCTTAGTTTTCATCTTTTCAAATGTGGAGCATTTCTTATCACCCTTTGAACAGAATATAAGCTGGCTTCAACATCAACATTTGCCATGATCTTTGCGGTCAATTGATGAGAGTTGGATGCTTCTCTAAAAATTCCTCTTTTATCAGCATCGGAAATCACTTCATTATTACAGTATTTATTATTTATACCATATCCCGACATTTTAAGTAAGAAATTGTATATAACTTTTCCACTTCTGCCGACTATTTCACTTACTGAAAGCTTTAACTCTTACGCTTCGTATTATGCTTTCTCTTTAACCGATAACGTTTTTATAGCCTGTACCCAAAGGGTACAAGGGTATATTAGCTTTTTGCGACTGTACACACAGAAGGAGGCGTGGCAGACCCCTCAAAGTATATATATTCTTGATCAGCATGACAAGCCGAGTCGATATAGCCATATCCGTCTGTCCGTCTATCTGTATGAACGCAAGGAAAGTAAAAGAACTAGAATAACCACAAAGTATATATATTCTTGATCAGCATGGCGAGACGAGTCGATCTAGTCCTGTCTGTCCGTCCGTATGAACACCTGGATCTCAGAAACTATAAGAGATAGAGACACCAAATTTTGCACAAATGCGTAAAATGCGGGCAAAACCCGTTCGGGCCCGCGAGAAATTCTGCTATAGGAAATAAAAAGATCATTTGCAAATAAATAAACTTGTTACTAAAATATTTTTTACTATTCGTTATGTGAATGAAGTATACGAATTGACTGTAGGTTTTATTGGTATAGGAGTGTATAGGTAAAAAAGTCCCTTTAAATTACGCCAAGTTGCAACGCCACGGATCCTTCAAAATAGTATCAGGTACCACTGTGCAAACGTAGGCAAAACAGCTGGGTCAAGCTGAAACGAAGTAGGCAGCAGGTACAGAGTGAAAGAGATCGCGCACATTTCTCCTTATAAAAATATATACACACAAGCATACCATCATTCAAATTTCACACATCACACATACATATGCCTGTCTACCACGAACGAGCGCTCTGCTACTGCAGACCGGCTCGTACGACACTGCTGCTGTCGGCAGCGACCCGCGGCGAAGCACGGCGTACCCGCACGACCCGTTACCTCTGCCAGACGACCCGATCGGACCCGCCGCCTCTGTCGGCAGCGACCCGAAAAACCGCGCAGCAGAATTTCTCGCGGGCCCGAACGGGTTGCGAGCACATTTTACGAACCCTGAATTTATACGAGTTTGTTTTATTTTTTTGATTTTCCCCCCACTTCCCCCCTATGGGGTTTTTCCCGATTTTCCATTCGTATAATCGCCTATATCTCGGAGACTATAAGACCTAGGGACACCAAATTTTAGTCCAAGATGCCTTATATAAATACACAGAAAATGTGTACTTTGGAATTTCCCTCCCTCCCCCCTCTACCACGCACATCGTAACTCCCGTAATTCGTGGAATTTTGAGCTCAAACTTGGAAGATGCCCTCAGTTGGTAATTATGTGTCCGTATGCCAAGTTTCACTATGATAGACCGATTTAACAAGAAGTTATAGCCACAAATATATTTGCTGTTCAACCGCTGCCCGCAGCTGTTGTTGATGTTGCTGTTTGGTTGACTGCAACCATGTTTACACAGACACGAATAGACGCGCATAGACATTCATTGCTTTGTAAATGTGTAATTGTACACCCTTTACGTGAGTTCGAAATCCGAGGGAGGTAAAATCGATCCAAATTTTTTTTTTACATTTTCTTAATTTTTGTAATTTCTATAATTATTCTAAACATATGTACAGAGTATTTCAAAGTCGGGACACCCGACTTTAGCTTTTTTACTTGTTTTGTAGCTGAGGCTGAAAGTGCGCAGAAATCCTTATTCGTAATCACTATAATACCCCTAAAACTCCTAGATGATTTTGGAAATGTTTAGTGGTTAAATCGTAGTGGTTCTTACACATGATCTCTATCGTTTTGATAAATACATACATCATATCAATTGTAACCTATCCCTATGGGGCGATTATTTGAAAGTTAAAGCACAAATAATCATAAATATAAGCGTTATTTATACGAATACGAAATACGAACACACATTAGTTGAATAACAAGTCACAATATCTGTGTCTTATATGGGCGGTAAGAGTTGGCGTAGTCCGATCGGTCTAAAATGTTATACAGTTGTTACACATGTCATTACAAGCACCTGTATCAAGTCTCTAACTTCATGTTTCGAATTTATGCCAAAAAATCGGCCATCTGGCCCAATGTGCACTGGTCAAATACCTCGACGATGGAACACCTAACAACTTAAAAGTAGCAAGGGATTACAAGTGGATATCAAAGGAATCGAGTCGACAGTACCAGCGAGATAAAAGCGAGATAAGGGCTTTGAAGTCAAAATGGCAATGAACATAATAAATAGATATAAAATTCCCCAACCAATGTTCATGGTAGAATCCTGCCCAATGCACAAACTGCCAGGAATATGGAGTTAAAAAGTCGCTTAAGCAAACAAAAATCCGCAGCTCGAAATCCAGTCATCCGGCAAAACTTGCCATACATATCATCAACTACGATTCCAGGAGTATCTTTTGCTAAGGCGTTAAGTTACACCAACGAATCGTATGCCCCAGTCTCTAAACAAACCACTGCAGGAATAATGAATCGTCAGACATCGCAACAGGGGCCAGAAACTACTACCCAACATACCACTGCAAATCCATCCCAATTGCCTAGTGGAATAGAATCAATTCTGGCAACTCTAACAAATACAATGGTAGCAATACAACAAACGATGCAGAAAATCTTCCGGAATTACTAATACTGGCCCACAGATCCAAAGAAGCAACCAGATGTGATTGATTTTGCTATTACAAGAAGATTTGTGTGGAGCACTAAACAGATATATCATCGGATCACTCGCCAATCCTTCTTCGCCTTTATGACCACCCACAGTACTCGGAGCGCCCACAATTTTTAAATTCTAGAAAAACAGACTGGCTTTAATACAGGAAGTACGTAAGTTCCCATATTGATGGCCGTTGAAACATTAACTGTAAAGATAACATAGATACCTCAGTTGAAGTATTAGTGTCTGTAATGCCACTGGCGGCAAAGCATTCCACACCAAAAATCACAGCTTATAAAACTTACATAAGCAGTCGTGTTCCCAGGCATATTGAAGCGTTTCTACGAAGGCTTCGGCGGGAGTGGCAAGCGCACAGATCACCTGAATCAAAGGAGCCGTTGAAAATAGCCAACCAGCTACTACGCGAAGCCCTAGAAAATGAGAAACACTGAGCTCAAATGGACTATGTACTCTCCCCAAACAGCAAACGATTCCCATTGTGGAAAGCTAAATGAGGCGTATGTCCACCAATCGAGAGTGAATCACCATTACGTAAGGAATGTGGGCTCGCACCAACGAAGAGAAGACAAATCTATTTGCCGCCCATTTAGAAAAAGTCTTCAAACCACATCCAGCTATAAATAGCTTTGTGCTCCCACTAACCAATCATCTTGAAGCTACCGCGCCTATCGTATTCCAAGCAGGAGAAGTTACAAGTGACATTAAGGGCCAAGTTTCAATGCAAAAAAAGCGCCGGGCCACGATATAATTTCCCCCAAAATGATTGAACCGAGCTGTGCAGTATTTTTTTTCACCATAATTTTCAACAGCATGATGAAATGGGACTATTATCCTCGACAATGGAAAAAATCTGTCATCAAAATGATGCATAAAGCCGGAAACGACAAGTCTCAGCCATCATCATATAGACCTATCAGTCTCCTGCCTTGCCTATCAAAGATATTCGAAAAAGTACTCCTGAATTGCATCAAGCAACACCTACATACCAAGAGTGCAATCCCAAATCACTAATTTAG